TTTAAAAGATTAAAGAATTTTAGACATAACTCTCATTACAATGAGGGCTAATAATTTTTTGATCACCAGATGTCGCTACTTGATAGTGAGGTAAAGTTTTTTGTTACACAATGTAATTTAATTGAGAAGTTGTTTTTTTTAATAAAAGTTTATCAGATTCTAGAGCATTAATACACAAAACAATGAGTCAGTGTTTTGCTCTTTAAATTTTTGCACATTTTTTACTTTTTTAATTTTTTTTCTTTTATGAATATCTGTGGTTTCGTTTATTTATTTTTAATGCTATTAACATAAAATATAATTAAGAGTACCGAAAGAAACATTAACATTTACATTTTCCGAACAAATTAAATTCCCCGCTATGAAATTTGTCAAATATACCTCACTTTCTAGTGGCGCCGTCCTGGTGGTAGAAAAAGTCGTGGATGCCCTCTGTTCGCGCTAAACGCTAATTTTAATAATTGACGCTAGAGGACGCTCGGTGCGGTGCATTCGTACCGGTTTGACGTTCGAGCGAGGTGGGAGTTGGTTTTGGGTGTGGCGCGTCGGAAGTCGAGACAATGCAGTGCAGTTACTAGAACAGCGTGGTCGCGTACCGTATAACCTCTAAATAGTGTCGTTTTTTGTTAGCAAGTTTATGCAACGACAAGGAGTTTTGTTGAGTCTAGAAAAAGAGATTGTCTGCGCGGACGCCGGGTCGGTTAATTGTTTTGGAAGTTAATATTGATTGCGATCAACGTCCGGTCTTTGATGCGTGTGGAATTTACTATTGCAGTTTTTTCTCTAGACTCGTGAGGTCGCTTTAAGATTGCTTCTATTTTGAGTTATCATTTTAATGCGTTTACGCGATAACGAGGCCTGTCTAAGTGTTGAGTGATTAAATTAACTTACCTTTGTTTGCAATTGAGTTTGAAGTCAATTAAATGTACAATAAAGTTGATAGATTGAAATAGTGTACAATAAAGTTGATAAACTGAAATAGTGAAATGAAGGCAGAAGTTTCCAATTGGTGATCGCCCCCCTTGAGAGATCTCACTTTTGGAGAGAAGCAGCGCTTGTGGATCTGCGGTCCGACTTCAACGGTTAAGTCAGGTTACATGGTACACACTACTACACACTACTTACATGTACCTCACTGATCACCTGATTGGTCAACCCTACCTCCTGAAATAGGTAAGTTGAGCTTGCTTATTTGTCAGTCGTTTTTGTAACTTATTTAGAACATTTATCCATAGGCCATTTGGGCCCCGTCCTTTGTTGCCCGTCGAGGTGGCTACTATGGGCCCTAACCCAATCGGCTTTTGTCGGGGCAACTCAGGGCGTGAACATTATTGGTAACAGCAGAGCGTGGTTTGGATTGGTTCTCCAATCAAGCCCGGCCGTAATGGGTAATAAATATATGCGTAATAAAATTTAAATATTTTTTTTGTTTGTTAGCGGGTAGAATTAGAAACCACGCCCGTTAGGCTGCGCAAGCAGGAGTTTGTTAGGGCTAGGTACGCGTTAGGTATTTTGGGTAGGTAGGTTAAATAGCCGAAGGGTCGGTTGCTTCAGCGAGGCATCTTTGCTGACTGACGGAAGTGTGTATTTGCCGTGTAGTGTAATTTGTATTTAACTTAATTTAATAGAAATTGTAGTTGTTATTTGTTAATTTGATTTGTATTTGTGCCGCGGATTAATTTGTATTTAGTGATGCCATCGCACAAGCTACCGATGCGTCGCCTAAAGGCGGAGCTGCGCTGTGCTGCTAGCGCCCATGCTTTGATAGGGCGACCGGATAGGGTCTATAGTTTGGAGAAGGGGCTCGAGCAGGTCGCGGCCCGGGGGGCCGTAATGGAGGAGGCTTACGCTGAGCTCGAGGCCTCGGATGCGGAAAAGGGAGTCCTGGAGTCCTGCCTCGCGGACTACGAGCAGTTCTTTTCGCTCACGGACGACTTGATCGAGGCGGGGGCCAAGTATGCTAATGAAGCACGTGAAGCTCGGCTGAGTGGCCTGGCCGAGTCCTCTCGGAAGCAGCCTACTCAGCCGGAGCTGTTGGGACGACTCCCAACTCTAGACCTGCCAAGATTCTCCGGGGTCCTCTCCGACTGGATGACTTTTGTAAGCCTTTCTGATAGTCTAGTGGACGCCCGGACGGACTTGACACCAAGCCAGAAGATGGCGTACCTCCTAGCCTCACTGGAGGGGGAGGCCCTGGGCGTCGTCGGCCATTTGAGATTGTCGGACGACGCCTACCAGACTGCTCAGGACCTCCTCGCCGGAAGATACGCCAACGTCCGGCGAATTGCGGACGAATACGTTAGGCAGCTTCTAAGCCTCCCGCTGCTTAGGGACCGGACCAGACTACGTCCGGACCTCGTGAATCCAGTCTTGGTGGCCTGTAATGCGTTGAGGCGGCTGGATTTACCGGTGGACGAATGGTCCTTCTTGTTGCTCCACATCGTGTTGTCCCGCCTGCCTTTCGACCTTCGAATACATTTTGAGGAGAGGTACGGCGGGGACGGCGCCTCCTATATTCCGCCCATCAGTGATCTGCTGCGGTTCTTGGAGGAGCAGTGCCGGCAGATTGAGAACGCGGCGGGCACCGTTGACGACTTACGAGCCGTGCCCAGTGAGAGGCGGAATCCGCTGTGCAAGTTGTCGTCAACCTCCCTAGGGCCGATCGGAGCTCCCGCAAAAGGGCGCCATCTTACAGTGGCCTAGTGGCCAGGGAGGTGCCCCCCTGTTCTTGTTATTGAGCATCCGATCACCGGGTGACGTCGTGCCCGAAGTTATTATGTAAGTCGGTTCCGGGTAGGCGAACTATCGCCAAGGAGCGCCGCTGGTGCTACTCGTGTTTGGAAAGGCACCTCCAGCGAGACTGCCCGCACCAGCGGCCCTGTCCGCATTGCCAGGGCAATCACCATTCAGTTTTGTGCCTGGGTGCGAACGGCGTCTCCTCTCGGGGCTCTGCCGGGCCCTCGACCCCCACAGGCGTGGGCGCTCAGCCACGCCCTCTGTCGGGCGACGCTCGGTGCTCGCCTGCCAGCCACCGAGCTCCTAGGTTTGAAAGGGGTCCCTCCCCCGACCAGTCGGGGGGTCGTTCCCCCAGGGGCGGCGGTGTCGTCGCCCCTCCTCAGAGTGTGCAGAGGAACTACACGGCCACTCAACAGTCAGCTAGACCCTTCTCACCCCCGTTAGCTGAGTGGCCGCAGCTGGGGTACCGCCGTCCCCCCTTTGATGGAGGCAGACCTAGCTAGCTGCTGCCCTAGCTCCCACCACGGCCGCCTCCACTGAGCCTTTGAGCCGTCAACAGTCCACTTGTCAAACTGTTCTGTTGCCGACGGCCTTAGTGAAAGCGTACAACCCAAGTGGCGACCGTTTAGCGGTTCGCGCTCTGTTGGATTCGGGTTCACAACGCGGTGTGGCCTCCACTTGGTTGGTGGGAAGACTAGGGCTCCCCTGGAGCGTTGAATCACGCTGTCAAAGAGTATTAGATTTGGTTTTGGTCGAGCACTTAATTAATAATGCTTTAAATTAAAAATAAAATTGCTTTGGGTTTTCCGCGAAATGTTTCATAGTTGTAGCGGTTGTGAGTAAAAAAATGAATTTAATATACTCTTTGAATACGTGTACATATGTTTTTGTAAATATATTTATGTTTGATCATTATGTTTGCTTTGTTGAAAAGAAAATTGAAATTGAGTAACACTATTTGTGCCGAAGAAAATAAAAGTCAATCCTCTCTTTGTTTTCACATTTTTGTTGGCATTGTCGAAGATATTTATTTGGAAAGAGAAATAGGCCTGTCTCTTATGTTTATCGTTTTACTTAATTCGTCTGTTTTGATTTATGCGCATCGGTAAATTAATTTGTTTGAATTAATTCAGTGGTTTGAGTATTGATGCTTTTGAAACTTGGTTGAAATATAAGCATAGAACTACATGTTTGAAAAGGCTAGGTAGTTGGGAGATTATCAGATTGAAATCAGCTGCTGCACAATTGAGTAAATGATTATATGGTAGATTGCTTGGTTATGCCTACTTGCGTGAAAAATCATACTAAGGCCTATCTGTGCGTGTTCGTGAGCCTCGCCACTAAGGCCGTTCACTTGGAACTTGTAAGTGCCCTTAGCACTGAAGCCTTTGTGGGCCGCTTCGTATCGCGTCGCGGTTTGCGGACCTGATCCAGTCTGACTGCGGAACGAATTATAAGGGGCACGGATACGAAGAGGTCGTCGAATTTCTGTCCAGCAACAGGACTTATCAGGTGCTGCGATGTCCAAGAAGTGCATTCAGTGGAGATTCGACCCTCTGGCTTGCCCACATTGGGGCAGTATTTTTGAAGCGAAGGTTAAGGTTGCAAGATCTGATGGGATGCCTAGAGTGGCCGAGGTTTTGGTTGGAGATTCGGGCCTTTCAACGCGCCGTCGCGACCCTGTCCCGCTTGCCAATTTACTCGCGGACATAAGTCCTTATGCCCGGGACGGGGGTTTGTTCGCGCCAAATGCTAATTTTAAGAATTGACGCTAGAGGGCGCTCGGCGCGGTGCATTCGTACCGGTTTGACGTTCGCGCGAGGCGGGTGTTGGTTTTGGGTGTGGCGCGTCGGGACAATGCAGTGCAGTTACTAGAACAGCGTGGTCGCGTACCGTATAACCTCTAAATAGTGTCATTTTTTGTTAGCAAGTTTATGCAACGACGAGGAGTTTTGTTGAGTCTAGAAAAAGAGATTGTCTGCGCGGACGCCGGGTCGGTTAATTGTTTTGGAAGTTAATATTGATTACGATCAACGTCCGGTCTTTGATGCGTGTGGAATTTACTATTGCAGTTTTTTCGCTAGACTCGTGAGGTCGCTTTAAGATCGCTCTATTTTGAGTTATCATTTTAGTGCGTTTACGCGATAACGAGGCCTGTCTATGTGTTGAGTGATTAAATTAACTTACCTTTGTTTGCAATTGAGTTTGAAGTCAATTAAATGTACAATAAAGTTGATAGATTGAAATAGTGTACAATAAAGTTCACTTTTGGACAGAAGCAGCGCTTGTGGGTCTGCGGTCCGACTTCAGCGGTTAAGTCAGGTTACATGGTACACACTAGTACACACTACTTACATGCACCTTACTAATCACCTGACTGGTACCCTGTGGTCAACTCTAACTCCTGAAATAGGTAAGTTGGGCTTGCTTATTTGTCAGCAGTTTTTGTAACTTATTTAGAACATTTATCCATAGGCCATTTGGGCCCCGTCCTCTGTTGCCCGTCGAGGTGGCTACTATGGGCCCTAGCCCAATCGGCTTTTGTCGGAGCAACTCAGGGCGTGAACACCCTCATTATAATAATGCGCGGCATGTTACTTAATACAGTAAGGTGTCAACAAATGTGTGTTATATCACCCAGGCTTAAAAACGATTAAATTTGATTCATTACCTACCACCTATCAATGTAGCGTCCCTCTCCATAGATTGTCTTATAAGGCTAATATTTGCCATATTTGCCATAGTTGCCACACTTTGCAAACCGGTTGGCATTCGCAGTTTATTTTCAGGTTGTTATTGGGAGGACTTCGGTGTAGTTGGTAGATATTATGACGTATGCTCCTTGTTACTTACCAAATATCTTAGAGCGACCTGGGTAACCGCTTTACCATGCTTTTTAGCGATGGAAACCATTGTAGGGTTGTCGATTTTAGGCTCGGGGCTGTCGGGCGTGGCGCGACTTGGCACCATACTACCAAACGTTGTAAACCCTACCACCAATACACCTTTTGACTGGCAGTATTCTACTAATTCCTTCTGTCCTAGATTTAGGTTCACCTGTAATGAAGAGATAATAACTTGTAAAGAGTCGTCCTATGGCCGATTTTCGACCAAGGTGAAAACGTTCTGATAATCGGAAATTCTCAACTGTACAGAAACTGTTATAACAACATAATAGTAAAATGTATAATAATGAAGTTCTGTGTTTGTGAGTAAGGAGACTGAGCCTCTCTTTACTTGCGGTTCATGGGCATGTTCATTGAGGATTAAAGAATACCTGGTTCATCTCGAGAAAAAATATTATAATTTATTACTATAATATAAAATTAATGTCTCTATAGCCGTGGTAGCTCCAGACGGATAACGCTCGCTGTAAGCTTCACAGTACTCGAGCAACCCGGGTTCGATCCTCGCCGGGACCAATGAAATTGTAAATTGCAATTTTAAGTGCTGATTTACCACGTGCTCGGAGGTGGAGGAAAACATTGTGAGGAAACCTGCATGCCTGAGAAAAAATAAAAAAATATTTCGAAGACATTTGAAGTCCGCAAACATGCATTTCGGCAGCGCGGCGGACATTTCCTTGCCCTAAAACGCTCTCAGAAATGAGAAGAGGCCTGTGCCTCTGGGACGTAAATAGGCTGCAATTTTAATGCCTCGGTAGCAGTAGACTCACTCATTTAACTTTTAATAAAAAGTAAAAACCGACTTCAAAGAACGAAGAAGAAAAAATAATTTCACTTAACTTCTGAAGTAGGTAAAGAACTAGACTTCATAAATTTTAATGTGGAATTTTTATTTGTTTATGAAATTTGCTTCTAAATTTTTATTAAGTATAAGCTTTATTTTTGACCCTTTCGAGTGGACTAAAGAATATAAGCTTAAGCACAAAACAACTAGATGTTTCCTAGAGCTTTAAAAATTATAAAATCCTGTTTTCTACCCATAGGTACGTAGTACTATTATTTATTTTGTGCCTTAGAGATAGAAATTTTTCTTCAAATTTAAATGGGACTACTCTTGTAAGTACGCTATTTATTTAATGTAATGTATTTAGTATATAACGTAAAACAATCATTTAAATAGTTGCACAATTGGAGAAGATATCGCATAACATACATAGAAAAAAACATAGAACCTCCTTATTTGAAGTTTGTATAGGATAGGGTGACAAACGAGCACACAGTCCACCTGATGGTAAGTGGATGCCGTTACCCATAGACATTTTTAACGGTGGTAGAGCCACGCGGCAGTTTTTGCTGATGCAAGTATGGGCCGGCTCGAGTCGGGTTGGTACCACGACCTCACAGAATACCGGCGAGAAGTAGAAGCTCTGCTTCTGCGTTTTGTCTGGTGAGTGCAGGTGGCCGGAGGCCCAATTCCCCACCCCCCTCAACATGGTAGCGGAATTACACGAAAGACTACCCCAGGAGAGTACCAGCACCCCTGGAGAATCCCTCGCTAAGCATCCACGATCATGTTATTCCACTCCTGAGCGTGGGTGCTTAGGCTGAAATTCCAAAAATTCCGCGCAAAAATATACGCCGTCCACTACCATCTCGATACGGCGAAGCCGGCCTTGCTCTTTCCGACCGAGACGCAGGTGTCCTCTCCGGCTGATACTTCATATCTCTCCTACCCGGGGTACAAATTGGAGCACTCTTTTGTGCCTCGGGATGGAATTTGCGTGTATGTCAGAGAGGACATCTGTTCTCGATGCCTCGGCAGTCTTGAAGGTTCGGACCTGTCCATCCTTTGGTTACGCGTAGATACCGACGACCATCCGCGCATCTACGGGTGCCTCTATAGGTCCCATAGCGGTAATGCCGAAACAGACCGACTCATCGGTCGATTCCTCATCGGACGTGGTCACGTCCAAATGGCTACAGATTCCTTTCTACAACAGGTCCCATCCGCAGAGATCGTGATCCTTGGCGATTTTAACGCCCACCACGCCGATTGGCTCGGTTCACGTTTAACCGATCATGCGGTGAGATGTGTTTATGACTTTGCCTTGGCATATGGTCTGACACAACTGGTTACTTCACCTACGCGGATTCCAGATGTGAAGGATCATACACCTTCCCTGTTGGACCTTCTGCTGACCTCTCATCCGGACGGATATCAGGTTGCCGTCGATGCCCCTCTCGGCTCTTCGGACCATTGTCTGATCCGGAGTGTGGTGCCACTTACGCTCCCCTCGCGGTTGCGTTCTGCAGGTTGCCGCCGTGTTTGGCATTACAGGTCGGCAGATTGGGACGGAATGCGGTCTTTCTTTGCTTCCTACCCATGGGGCGGGTTTGCTTCTTGCCGGATGATCCCAGCGCTGTTGCTGACTCTGTCACTGATGTAGTGCTACAGGGAATGGAACTATTTATTCCATCATCTGTGGTACCCATCGGAGGCAGATCTCAGCCTTGGTTTGGTCGCTCCTGCATTGTTACTGTAACTGCTCCTGGACTGCATTACGCAGTAAGCAGGAGTGTTATCAAGTCTGGGCTGCGGCTTCGGTGACTCAGGATGTAAACACCAGCACACTTAAAAAGAAGTATAACTTCGCCTCCAGGTCCTTCAAAAGAGTTATTGCTAAGGCAAAGTCAGAGCACATAGGCAGAATTGGCGAGAAACTAGTTCGCCTTCCTTCGGGTACCCGTGCATTCTGGTATCTCGCCAAGGCTGTCCAAGGGAATTTCTGTAAGCCATCACTACCACCTCTGCATAGGGAGGACGACTCACTGGCCCATGCCGTAAAAGACAAAGCCGACCTTTTAGGCTCCCTTTTTGCGTCCAACTCGACTCTTGATGACGGGGGGAAAACACCGCAGACCATCCTACGGTGTGAGTGCTCCATGCCGGATGTGCTTTTCTCACAGCGCTCGGTTCGCAAAGCACTCCTCTCCCTGAACATCCAGAAGTCGAGTGGGCCTGATGGAATCCCTCCAATTGTGAGAGGAGGTGTGCTCTGGAGTTGGCACCGGTTCTAACGCGTCTTTTCCGGTACTCCTACTCCCAAGGCGTAGTCCCAAATTCACGGAAGACAGCTTTTGTCCACCCGATCCCTAAAAAAGGCGACCCGTCCAACTATAGCGTAAAATAGCAAATTAACGCTGCTGTGTTTCTTATGGTGAGTGTAGAGAACCGGAGACTCTTTTTACTGGCAAAGAGGCATTCCATCTTAGTCCTCACGGGTGACAACGCATCTGCATCTTGAGTCTTTATTGAGGATAGATGTAGATGTCTATGGGTCACAGTAACCACTTACCATCAGGTGGACTGTGTGCTCGTTTGTCACCCGATCCTATAAAAAAAATATAGGCCTATCGCCATCACCTCCTTGTTCTCCAAAATAATGGAATCCATTATTAACTGCCAGCTCATGCGGTACCTTGAGTATCACCAGCTGATTAGTGACCGCCAATACGGTTTTCGTCGGGGTCGATCAGCTGGTGATATTCTGGTCTACGTGACCCTTAGATGGGCGGAGGCAATAGTCCAAGGAAGAAATTAAAGAAATTGTGCAATTGGAGCACCAGCTTCCTTGCAGATCGGAGCATCAAGGTCGTTGTAGACGGTGCATGCTCTGACTACAAGCCTATTAACGCTGGTGTTCCACAAGGCTGCGTGCTATCACCAACGCTGTTTCTTATGCATATCAATTATATGTTGCTAACTGGTAACATTCATTGCTATGCGGATGACAGCACTGGTGATGCTCTATACACCGGCCGTACCAATATTTCTCGGGAAAACGTCGCCGAGCAACGGAACAAACTTATGTCTGAAGTCGAGTCTTTGCTGAACAAAGTCTCGGATTGGGGGCGACTAAATCTAGTCCAGTTTAATCCTCAGAAGACACAAGTGTGCGCGTTTACCGCTAAAAAGAACCCCTTTGTCGCATCTCCTCAGTTTCAAGGCACTCCCTTTCTTGCCTCAGTCAGTGTCGGAATCCTCGGAGTACGACATATCGAGTGACGTGCAGTTTCGTGGTCACTTGGATGAGAAGGCCAAATTGGCCTCTAAAAAGCTTGGCGTGCTCAGCAGAGACAGTATTTCGGTTCGGCCTCACATGGAATACTGTTACCATCTCTGGGCTGGGGCTCCCCAGTGCCAGCTCCTTCCACTTGACCGCATCCAGGGCAGAGCGGCTCGAATCGTCGACGACCGAGTCCTTTCCGATACGCTCGATTCATTGGCGCTACGAAGAGATGTTGCATCCCTTTGCATTTTCTTTCGCATTTACTACGGGGAGTACTCTGAGGAATTGTTCGGATTAATCCCAGCCGCCAAATTTCACAAACGCACATCGCGGCAGAACTCCCGATACCGTCCACACCATCTGGATGATTGGCGGTCCACCACTGTGCGATTAAGAAGTAGTTATCTTCCTCGCACAACTTCCCTGTGGAATCGATTACCACCAGCGATTTTTCCGAACCGATACGACTTAGGGACCTTCAAAAAAAGAGATTGCTCCTTTTAAAATAGCGGCAACGCATCTGCAATTCCCTCCCTGGTGTTGCAGTTGTTCATGGGCGGCGGTAGTCACTTACCATCAGGTGAGCCACATGCTCGTTTGCCCCCTCTCCTATAAAAAAAATGACATCCACATCTATCCTCAATAAAGAATCAAAATGCAGAAGCGTTGTCACCAGTGAGGACTAAGATGGAATGCCTCTTTTCCAGTAAAAAGGGTCTCCGTTTCTCTACACTAACCACACGAAACACAGCAGCGTTAATCTGCTATTTTAGACTGGTATTCTGTGAGAGCGTGGTCCGTCCCCGGTCGAGACGATCCATTCGTGCTACAGTTATACTACTAATATAGCTGCAACATGGCGAACTATATAGTCTATCTGATGGAAAGTAGCTACCAGCCCATGGAAATTTGAATTAACTTCAAACATAAGGGATACAGATGCGCTGTCAGCTCTGGGAATTTACATAGGTTGGGACGACTCACAGTATGTAATCATACTGGCTCTCTACACCCCACAACAGTACATATACTGCTGCTCAGCGGAAGAGGGTGATAAGTTAACAATGTTAATAATTAATTAGTTAACACCGTCTTAGTATGAGTACAGATTAATTAACATGTTGTGTAACCTGTGTTGTTGTTCACATTATGTTATATTGTTTGTAACATAATATAACAATACTGTACACATGAGAATAACAGTACAATATAACAATGTTATATGACATTGACATTTGTCGTTCTGCAGTGTTATTCACAATGTACCATATATTACATATATATATATATATATATATATATATATATATATATATTATATACATATATATAAAAATATATATTAATGTAGATGTTTTTATTATTACAATATAAAACTTTTAATAATAAAAACATCTTAAAAACAAGTTCTTTTACCCTTGGAATACCTGCCTCTTTTGTAGAGCGAACCTTATTTTTATCCTTTAAAAAGTACACATGTACGCATAAGTTATATTTGTGTCACGTTAAATAACACGTTTTGTAACATTCAGGCTCCATATTACTGAAAGATGTTATAAGCAACGTTTTATAACATGTTATGTTATATAACATGTACGCACCGTTAGAATAGAATAGAATAGAATATTTTTTATTCAATATACATTACATGTGTAATTCTTATTGAAAGTCATTTTTTACTTTACCACTGGTTCGAAAAAACCCTCTGTCCTGGGAAGAACCAGCAAGAAACCCAGCGGGACTTTTTTTTAAATCAATTTTACAATATAAATGATTACGAACTATTTACAAAATTTATTTTAGAAACTGCTTGGAAGCGATCACCTCATTCCCAGGGGTTATTATCAACCATGTATTCATTTATACTATAATAACCCTTTTTATACAGTTTCAGCTTAATAAAACATTTAAACTTGGTAATAGAGAGAACCTGTACACTTTCCGGGACCTTGTTGTAATAGCGTATACATTGCCCCAAGAATGAATTACTGACTCTGTGGAGTCGAGAAACTGGTATCACTAGCTTGTGTTTGTTCCTAGTGTTTACAGAATGTATATCACTTCTTTTACTAAAACTATCTTTGTTTTTGTGAACATACATTAAATTTTCGTAAATATACTGAGAGGCCAAAGTTAATATATTAATTTCTTTGAATTTATCTCTAAGAGACTCTCTCGGTTTTAGATTGTAAATAGCTCTAATGGCCCTCTTTTGTAAAGCGGTCCGGTTGTTAGCGGTCAGGCACTGCAGAGTCTACTTCACCTAAGTATATCTAGATTAGAGGCGAAACACGTGATTGTGTTATCGACGGTGGTGTGTCTTTCCTAGTGTAGTGCTGCTGGAACTAGTGGTGACGGGGATAGTGCTCGCTATGGTTGGAGGGCGGGAGGTGCTCTTCACTACGTAAGACACATCATTTTATTATGTTACGCGCATCTCAGCTAATTAATTTTTAAAATGTTTTAATAATAGATTTCCGCAATGTAACGCCTCATTCTATTAATTATTTTTAAAAGGTTATAAGTACCTAACCAGGCTCCTAAATAAATCTTTCCATTTTAATACCTCAATTTGATTTGTAGCTGGCACCACGTTACAATTGGCAAGTAGCCTCTTCATTTGCTCAAGGTTAAAGTTGGACACACCGATAGCCTTGGTTAGGCCTTTCTTCAGAACGGCTTCCAGTCCGCGGTAAGTCTCCAAGTAGTCTATTTTCTCATCGACGCCATCTTGCTGCAAAATAGTGGATAAAATATGTTGAGTTTTTTTTTAATAGAATAGGGTAACAAACGAGTATACAGACCACCTGATGGTAAGTGGTTGCTGTGACCCATAGAAATCTACATTTATCCTCAATAAAGAATCAAAATGTAGATGCGTCGTCACCCGTGAGGACTAAGATGGAATGCCTCTTTTCCAGTAAAATGGGTCTCCGGTTCTCTACACTCACCATACGAAACACAGCATTGTCAAGCTACCATTTTACGCGGGTATTCTGTGAGAGCCTGGTCGTTCCCCGGTCGAGCCGACCCATTCGTGCTACAACTATACTAATATATTAGCTGCAGCATGGCTCTACCACGTACAAAAGAGTTCTGTTTATTTTATTTATTTATTTAAACTTTGTTGTTATAAATAAATTTACAAATACTTATTACTGCTATTTAAATATAACATACTAAACATTACATATCTATCTATACTTATAATGTGTGTTAACATATAAGTAAACATTAAATATTAAATATCAACTCGGTTTAGTCGCGTGCTGTAATAAATATTTTTTAAACTTACAGAAATTGACATGGGCCAGTGCATGAGGACTAAATCCACGTAGTCCATATCCAGACGCTTTAACGAAGCTCGCAGGGATGTCTCCACGTCAGCTTCTCGGTGGTAATGGTGCCAAACCTGCAAGATCAAATTTTTTAATTTTTATTTATGCTTTAAATACCTTAATAAGGTTGACAAACGAGCACACAGTTCACCTGATCGTAAGTAGACTGTGAAAAGTATAAAGAAACAAACCTTAGTAGCGATGAACAGATCGTCTCTTTTGACTACTCCTTGTGCGATCTTCTTCTTCACGACCTGACCGATCTCCGGCTCCACGCGGTAGAGATGCGCCGTGTCGATATGTCGATAGCCGATATCGATTGCATACGACAGAGCCTCCACTAACTTGGGCGCGTCTTGGATTTTGAACTCCATCTTTAGCAACAATTAGCAAAAACTACTATGTACATATGAATTATTTCGATTAACAATGTTTTAATGAAAAAAACGCTCACGCCTGTCACCCTGAGGGGTAGGCAGAGACTACGTACTGCCATTTGGCACGATCCTGTCACGCCGATCGCTTCCTTATACGTGCTTATACGCATGCATACTCGTAATGTTGTCCATTTTCAATATATCGAAATAAATAATACTAGTTACCAAACATTTTTTTTGGTAAACTGTTGTTTGGTAAAATCATATACGGCAATAGTCAAAGGGCGGATGATTACGTTATTCATTACGAAATTAATATATTTTTATTTGGCTTGAAACTGTTAATAAAGCCTTGAAGCAGCAAAAACTATTCATTTAAAATAGATTATATTAATCTGAAACATTATTATCATCATTACAAACTCTTGCAATGTTTAATAACTGCTGAACATATGCTTTCCCTACGGAACTGTCTGCATGTAGGTCGTCATTCTATCGATTGAAACATAGAAACGTTAATGTTTTTGTATTGGTTCGCTTTTATATTTTATTTTTTACAGGTATACCCTCAATAATACTCTCAACTCTCATTTTTTCAAATACTATATTTGAAATAAAGGAAAATGAAATATATAATGCAGTAAAACTTGGTTAAGTGGGACCTGGATACGTGAGAAACCTCCATAGCTGGAACTCATGCTTAGGTTCCGATACTTTAGCACGAAATCACATCTGTTAGTGGGATAAAACAAACCTCTACATCTGAGATTAATTCTTTCGATTTTATCGTCATAATTACCTCTATAATTGAGACAGCGAGTATATTTTACCTCTTTTACTGAGACTATATTTTGTGTACCGTTTTTTACTAATTATTATTCTACCCGCAAATTCCGCACTTTGCTAATTATGTAAAAGTGACCTCCATTTTTAGTTTGGTGGTTTGCTATCGTCCGGATGTTTATTTGAAAAAAATATTTAATAATCGCACCTCTATAACTGAAATAACCTCTATTATCGCCTCTATTAATGGAACCCTCTGTAAATGAGACAGATATTTATTTATACCTGGATATCTGAGACACTGTGTAAGTGGAATACCACTATAAGTGAGACAACTTTGCAGGTCCCTTAAGATCCCAGTTATCCAAGTTTCACTGTACATAAAGGCAAATAGTATTTGAAATATTTGACTATCGTATTTAAAAGGCTAAACTATGCTTTTTAATAACAATTTTTATGTATTAAGCACCTTTTCATCCAGTCCGAGCCACGTGCCGTAGCCCACCGCTGGTATTTCCATACCATTGTTAAGCTTAAACGATGGAATGTTAACCTGAAATAACAAGTGAATAGAATTAGTGTTTCATAGGAATATTATGATATAATATATGACTCCACCAGGTAATAATTTCGCATAATATTACGTAGTAGAGCCTTTCTGCAGCTATATTATGGTTGTAGAATGAATAAATCGACTCGACCGGAGAAGGGCCACGCACTCTCAAGATAATATAGCGTAAAATAGTAGCTTAATACTTTTAGTATAGTGAATGTAGAAAACTGGAGACCGTTAGTACTGGATACGAGGCATTCAGGAGTCCTCAGGGACATCACATGTGCATTTTGATTCTTAATCGAGGTTAAACATAAATGTTTATGGGGCACAGTATACAATTATTATCAGGTGGAATGTGTGTCGTTTGCCATCCTAAAAAAAACTTGTTTATAAAGATATTTTATAATGTTTTTTTAAGAAAAATATCGTAAAGAAATCTTGAGGAATTAGTAAATATAATTAATATAATATTGAATTATACGCCTATTTTTAATAGAACTAAGAGGAAGCGGTTCTAAATTCGATTGTATTTTTGATATGTAGGTATATTACGCGATATCTTCTCCTATAATAAATCTATTTTAAAGGAGAGTAGAACCGAGAAGTGGGAACGACTGAATCTTCGTGTTTATCAAATGTTTGTGCCCGCTGTGGATCTAGATTTTTCTGTGTACTTCAATTGGTACCCGCGCTAGCCGACACTAAAAATATTGCTAATAACATTTCGTTAGCACATCTACATTTTCACATTACATTCACCATACAAAACTCAGTAGTATAATACTGCTGCTTTAATTTTACGCTGATATTCGTATACGTATGAGCATTTTTTGCATTCGTGGTGCAGTCTAGTGTTGCCCAAAATGGGTCTTGGTCTTGCAGTCTTGGTCTTGACCAACCAAGACCAAGACCGCCTAAATTTACCAAGACCAAGACCAAGACTGACCCTGCAAGATTTGATCAAGAACAAGACTAAGCCTGCGAAACTCTTGCGTCTTGCAGTTAGGACTGAGTGTCGTTTCAGGAAGTATAGGATTTCGGCTATACTCTTAGGGACTCTATGAGACGCAAAAAAATATATTTAAAAAATTTGGAAAATTGAAGTTATGCGCATTACGAACAATAAACATACCTAGCGAATGAAAATATCCATTAAAAGAAAAAAGAGTGCATTCCTAGTTTTGACCATCGGCACTTTGATAGTGCGCGGCGTCTTGTTGTCGGCATCATCAAAGGTCGGATACTGACCTGTCAAAGAAAGTTTACAGCTATTTGGAATTACAAGGCCATGATACACGCGCCGGCGGCTTCTATTGATATCGCATACAATTGTCGCCGCCGCGCCGCTCGTACAACATTTGACACTGTTTGATTGCTGCCACAGAGTACATGTTCAAAAGAATAAAATAAGTTTCCGGGTGCTCAGAATGAACATGAATACATTAACTAATCTCGCAAGGAGTATTGTAATTAGATAGTGGTAAGGATAGGTAGATATCATAATAATTTATTCTAGTAAAGATTATTATAATATTAACTATATGGGTTTATAATAATTACTAACTATTATATTATTATTACCTAATAGATAAACATGTTCAATAAGTTCACTGCAAATCTCAATTTTTGGAAGTATTTGTTTTTAAAACACAAAGTGCTCGAATATGTCGTCACCCATTTGATAAATATTGTAGACAATTTTAACACACTTGAAACGTGTAAAAATTTTCTACAATGCTAATTGAATAATATAAAAAGTATGCATATAAAATAAAAAGCATGCAATAAGATCTATTTACTGCTTAGGAGCCGAGTATATCTGAGACATAGAAATAATTCTATGATCTGAGAGAACCGTTTAAAGAAATTGATATCTTGACTGTTGCATTACAATATATTTTTGCAAATATCATGTATCTATGACAAAACATTCACTTACATGTAAAGAATAGTGATTTGCACAATTTTAATAGTAGAAATAAAATCAAAATCACATTACCTACTTTTCGGTTACACAAAGTATACAATTCATTCTTGGGTAGCGGTACACGCTTTTTATAACAAGATTCCAAAAGAAATGTTATATCTTTCACCTTTTCAATTTAAGTCGCACATAAAAGCTTGTCTAGCCAAAAATCATATTATTCTGTAAATTATTATCTTAATGACAAAAATGCTTGGAACTGACCTCTCGTACTACACAGGACTAACTAGAAATTTCTATACAGATTTGGTATCTAAAGTAATGTCAAAGCTATTGTATACTGTTATGTAATTTAATTTATATTGAATTTTATTTTTTATTTAAATAAATGGTAAATTGTTTAACTCTGTTATTCCATTTCATATAAGATGAGGGCCCACCAAGCTCTTTCTAGACAGATAATGTTCTTTAAAATGCAGTCAAGTTAATGTTATTAATTTCTTATTTACATGTTTTAACCATGTTTTAGCACATGTAAGCGTATTAAATGTAAACGTTTAATAAGTAACAGACTGACACATGTCGCCGTGGGACACGGTAGATAGCTTTTTTTCTTTTTTTATATAGGATAGTGTGACAAACGAACACGCAGGTAAGTAGTTGCTGTGACTCATAGACATCTACATAATATATCCTCAATAAAGAATCAAAATGCAGATGCGTCGTCACCCGTGAGGACCAAGATGGAATGCCTCTTTTCCAGTAAAATGAGTCTCCGTCTCAGTTGGTTAGAGCATCGACAAGGATCACTTAGGTCGTGGGTTCAAACCCCACCCAGTGTCAGTTGATTTTTCGAATTTCTCATTAAATATTTAGACATTTAATAATTTGGTTGGTCTTTACTATGGCTGTTAATTCAAGCTCAAAATTTACCTACTCTGTTAAGTTGTTCTAAGATCTAAAGTAACATTTAATAAATAGCAATAGGCTAATAGGTAATTGCGAGACTTGCGAGACTCTTTCTGCAAGAACAAGACCAAGACCAAGACTGAGAGTGCAATACCAAGACCAAGACCAGGTGCATTGGCGCAAGACCAACAGCAAGACTGGCTAAGTCTCGTCTTGTTCTTGCATTTGGGCAACACTAGTGCAGTCATATGTAATACAGTTTCAGTGTGACTCTGCCACGATATAACTTAAAATCCCTATAACTATGTTCTATTATGATCATTGTATATAGATTTTATGAGATTTCTCCAAACGCCCATTCTGAATGATCAGAAAGGTGATTTTTGTCAGAAATTTTCTCAAATAATATAAGTTTATACGTGGTAAAGCCGTACTGTAGCTCTACCACGCGCCACACAATATCAACGTAAAATAACAGATCAATGGTGCTGTGTTACGTATGGTGAGTGTAGAGAACCGGAGACCATTTCCACAGAATAGCAGTGTCAAATTGCAGCTTAACACTGCTGTGTTTCGTATGGTGAGTGTAGAGAACCGGAGACCCTTTTTACTGCAAAAGAGGCATTCCATCTTAGTCCTCACGGGGGACAACGCATCTGCATTTTGATTCACAAATGAGGGTAAATGTAGATGTCTATGGGCCACAGCAACCACTTACTATCAGGTGGACTGTGTGCTCGTTTATCATCCTATCCTATAAAAAAATACTGGAAACGAGGCATTCGACCTTAGTGCTCAGGGATGGCAACGCATGTGCTTTTATCAGGTCAGGTGAACTGCTGTGCTCGATTGTCATCTTACTCTATAAAAAAGGTACGGTGTAGGTAGTAAATCGCAAACTTTGTTGCGATGTGTGACGTTGGAATTTATCGGCTGGAATTAATTCGTAAATTCCTTTGAATACTCCCCGTGATACGAGTAAATAACAGAAAATGCAAAGGGATAGTAACATCTCTTCACAGTAATAGTGAATCGAGCCAATCAGAAAAATAGTAGGAACAGACACAAGCTAATAGTACCAGTTACTCGACTCCATCGAGTCAGTAATTCATTCTTGGGGCGATGTATACGCTTTTACAACAAAATCCCAGAAAATATACAAACCTGCTCGAAATGTCAACCATGTTGATGAATAAGTCCGCTCTTTGCTGAATGCGGTTAAGTGGCCATGCGGTCAAAAGAGATGGTACTGGGGTGGCCAAGCCCAAAGATGAGCGAAGTAATCCATGTGAGAACAAACTTGCGCCTTGTAAAGTTGCAATCGGTGTACCGAAATGAAATACTGTCGCTCTACTGAGTATGCCAAGCTTTTAGATACTGTGAGCTCATTCTGCATTTATGCAATGTGTCTTTGGTATTTTAAGTTGACGTGGTGAAAATTCTCTCTGTACTGAAATCTGGGCGGAGTTCGGTCCTGTCTTGGGTCTTAAGACGACACATCGAAAACCTTTTAAGTGGGCTATCACCAGACTAATCCGAGTTAGTGCATAATTTCTATAAAAACTTAAAAACCGCCGCTATAAGGTCTAAAATTGCGTAGCGCCCGCGACGGTTAAGACCGCTTAGAAATCCCTTAGATTCTTAAAATATTTAAAAAAAATTATTGATTTAAGTAATCTAAATTATAAGCAAGCAAATTACGAATATTGATGTTAAGAATGTATTTGAGGGATTCCCAAATATATAGATTAATTAATTTCGTTTGTAATTTCAACTATAGTAATTTTTAGAGGTGTTTTCGCAAATAATTTTGAGTCAAAATTATACTATCGTGTTTTTGAACAAGCAAATTCATGATAAAGACATGAATTTACCTATATCAAAATTCCAGTTTCATTAGTCGTGTCATACTCCTATACTATTCGATGAAAAGAGGTGCATTATCTCGCGGTGTCGCCTTAAAATCCGGTCAAGACCAGATTTATTCTAGTTGCAGTAGTCCATGGGCTGCAGTAACCATTTACCATCAGGTAGAATGTAAGTTCGTTTGTTTGTCACTTATAAAATGTCGTTTTATAAAAAACTAGCTGTCCCCCCGCGACTTCGCCTCCGTGGAACTTACTACGATTTAATGGGTGTTAATTTGTTTTTCACGAAACTTTTTCTAAAATAAAAGTATCCCATCAAAACAGATCCAGCCGTTTCAGGGATTAGCAGGAACAAACAGACAGATAGATAGACAGACAAAAATTTAAAAATTGATTTTTTTTTGTTATTAGTTATTTATATACTTTCATATGCATTTATTAAAAAGCTGTTATTTTAACATTACAAACAGACACTTCAATTTTATTTATTCGTATAGATGTATAGAATGTTCGTTGCTTAGTTGTTTGTATATTTGATTATCGTTATAAGAGTCAAGGCAAACCATTCAACCGACGGATTTAGTGATAACGCCTTTATCATGCCGAGATAATTGATTATGGTTAACTTTGCCTGAGAATTATTCTTTACGTATTTTGAAAATAATACAGAAAAAAAAAAATTAAATGATTCACATTTTAATAAGGTAACATACAGCAAAGCTATACTGATACATAATTATATTTAATTATATTATATGTATAAAGATAATTATAATCTATATAAATCACGAAGCCTCTTCAGTTTGAAACTAATAAACAGCGCAGCGTTGCATTCGAATACGCGCGTTTTTATATTATATTTAAAAAAACCGCCATCTGTTGGACGTAAAAGCGATACTTTTCGTTTCTATCTTTTCCATTAAATTAAAATTTAAAAATAAAACGGATACACTATACACCTCATGGTAATTGGATACTGTTGGTATTGGATATAGACTTCTACATTCATGCTCGATTAAGAATAAAAATGCATTTGAAATGCCTCGTATCCAGTAAAAAGGGTCTCCGGTTCTCTACATTCACCGTACGAAACACAGAGAGCGTGGTCTTTCCCTGATCGAATCCACCCAATTGTGCTACATTATGTAGCTGCAGCATGGCTTTACCTCGTAAAAAAATATATGACTTCTTATATGAAACTAATTTTCACGGATTTTATCGCGTTTAATTTAACTTTTTAATTCCAGACGTTTCGGGTGCTTTACAGCACCCACGGACTTCGAGATACTGTATGCTCATTCTGCGTAGATCAGACCAAAAATTTATATTCAAAAATTGAAGGTAGCCGGGCTAACTATGACATCGGAACGTCAAACACCTCAGTCCTTCCCGTGACCACGGGTGCTGCACCCGTGGTCAAGCAAACGTCGGGAATTAAAAAGATAAATTAAACGCGATAAAATCCGTAAAAATTATTTTCATTTAATGTGTAGTTTTCGCGTAAATATAAGAAATCATTATATGACTTCTTCTTTATAGAAATAAGGTTGACATACACTACAGTCACACAGTCCATTTGATGGTAAGTGAATAATGTGGCCTACAAACGACTTCATCTACTCAATTAAGAAGTAAAATGCTGACGCTTTGTCATCCCATGTGAACGAAGATGGAATGCTTCGTCACGCGTAGAAAGTGTTTTCTTTACTCGTCACTTATAATACGAAACACAACAGCTTGGTTCTTCTCAGGTCGAGCCGAGCCATTCTGCTGCAATTTATCACGGATGCAGTATGACTCTACCATAAAATTTATATATGACTGGCCAAAATTTGTAAGATATTAAAAAAATAAATTAATAAATTAGACAAAACTGTTCAATAGTTAAAATCCTTTATAATTTAATCGGTTACCAATGATAACTGGTTAGTTAATAACGTAAATATTAAAAAAAAAAAAACATCTGGATATTAATAAACTCATTCATAACATTTAATATTGCCATAATACATAATATTGTTTAACTTGGGTTGACTCGTCGTAGGTCTTCTGAAATAAGCTAATCTTGATATTTCATAGTCAATTACACGCGTTAAACAAGTTCGATCCCTGTCTGCATTAATGAAATTTCTTTTAACAATTTTACTTGCTGATGACATTGTGATGTAGACTTGAAATTATTTTCAATAATATTAAAATTGAAATTCGTACGTACTGCTTAAATTTAAAACATATTAATATATTATCATATTTTACAGCACAGATGGACCGTGTGCAGCTTTAGCTATTATCATCCGTGCATATTTTAAATTATTACGGTCCATTCTTTGAATATAATAATAATAATGTCCTCCAGACCGAATTTTGGTCTCGGCGGCCAGTATCTACGGAGACTAGCCATCGGCGTAGGAAAGGATTATAGTGCTCAAGTGAATGCGCAAGCATAGGTGCACTCTATTCCCTCACTCTCATAGTCCGATGGGACGGTAAACCCACACGACCGAAGAGAGATCAGGCGCAGGACTAACGGATTTACGTGCTTCCTGACTCCGGGCAGCTACTGAGAATTTCTTGATAGAAAACTTAATAACTGATTTTTTTGACCCGACCCGGGATTCGAACCCGGGACCTCATGATCAGCAGTCGCACTACTACAACCACTAGTCCTACGAGGCAATCAGTCTTAGAATATAATAAATGTTATACACATGAATGTATTACCTTTTAAAATAAAGCATTATACTTGAGTTCTATTGTTCTTGAGTGGACTTTAATACTAATTTTGTTATTTATAAACAATTTTTTGATATATAAATTAAATGTTACAATAATTAAAAAAAAAATATTTTGGTAAGGTTATTTTAACATTTAATACAAAAGTATGCACCGACTATGATCTAAAATAAAATATAATAGGAATCAAAATTAACTCTATCAACTACTTTGATTTACTTATGAATGATAAACATTCTTTGGTCAGTTCAAATATATTACAACTATCTAAGAATAAAGTGAGATACCGACCTTCGCCATAGTTGTGCGCACGCGCTCGGAGTGTTGGCTCACAATCACAACTGGTTCCCTGGTATATAGTGACAGAAATTAGGCATGGCTGAAAAATATCGATATATATATACAGTCGATATTTTTAATTACGATATATCGATATTTATTTTAGAGTATCGAATTTGCATCTATTTCGATAACAAAAGCAGCTACAAAAGCATTCATGTACGGTTTTCGTTTTTTTTCGCCATCCAGCCGTCAGTAAAAAATTCCAGTACTATACATCAGTCCTAGAACATAATGCAAATGTTGACGATATATGTATCCATACTGCGATATATCTATCGATACTGCTTAAAATTATCGATACAATATATATATCGATAATTTTTTCACTTACCCATCTCTAATAGAAATACTGAGTGGCCACCACTTTGTATTTCACATGATGGCGCATGAAAATATCAAAGAGTAATACCCAGTATAGAGGAGACGAGACTGATGAAATGAAAAATCATATCAATTCCACTGAAAGTCAATCGAAAAAGGATAATATAGTTTATATACTATGCCATTGGTAGCATTTTGAAATGAGTTAAAGAAGAATTATAAAATATCTTGTGCCTTCTGAAAGAAACGTACGTTAATGTGGTAGAGCCAAGCTGCAGATATGTTAAGGATCACGCTCTCACAGATAATGAGTTAAAGGAAAAATTTAAAATATCTTGTGGCTTCTGAAAGAAACATACGTTAACATTTAAAACATCAACGTTACGTACGTAAACGTGGTAGGGCTAAACTGCAGCTATATCAAGGATCACGCTGTCACAAAATACCAGCGTAAAAAAGAAGCTTAATGCCGCTGTGTATTATCAAGTGAACTACGTGCTCGTTTCCCCCTCAGCTATAAAAAGAAAACATGTCATAAGCAAATTGAGCTCCACGCGAAAGATGTCACAGATATTAGTTTTTTGAAATGATAACATTCTATATTGGCTTGTAGCTAGCAATATATTATTTAAAACTAAAAGTTACACAATCTGAAGCCTTTTAAGTAGTATAAAATTAGAGATGGACATATTTCTTATTTCTTTCTCTGACTTTTATAGCTCTCATATTATTTTGTAGTGGGGGGTGTAAGCATATCCATTCCATTACAGCCCATGAAAGTCCACTGCTGAACATAGGCCTCCTTCATAGATTACCTCATTGAGGGGAACATCATAAGCCCATAGAAAATAAAATACTGCGGTTGCCATCTCACTTGCCAATGTTCGAATGAGGTAATCTATGGGGAGGCTTATATTCAGCTATGGACTTTGATTCGCTTTAATATATGAACGAATAAAATAAGACGAATAGCCTGTGTTACGGCCCCCAGCTGCCCCTGCAAAGGTCGCCTTGGCTAGGGCCTATAAAAAAGCCTCCTCGACGGGCAGCCGAGGGTTAGGGCCCAAATGGCCTTATGGACAGTTGACCTATCATACTATAATAGGGAGAAGGCTAGGTAAATAAATAGTACGTACCTGGATCCGAAGCTAAGACCGCCCCAAGGCTCGGTCAGGTAGTAGGTAGGTGTAGTGCATGTAAGTGGTGTTTAGTGGTGTGTATATTTATGTGACCTAGCCCAGCTGAGGTGACCGGGCAGCGGCATGGTCCCATGCTGCCCCACAATGCTGCATCACTCCAGCAGGCGTCACCAAGTGACAACTTTTTTCTTCATGTCGCTATTTCAGTCTATCAACTTTATTATCCATTTAACTAACTTCAACTCAACTAATTCAACGTTCATCGTAAAATCAAACACGTAATACCCGACACAAGTAACGAACAGTAGTTCAAAGTTCAATAATCAAGGTTCCGGATTCATTTATCACCAAATTACAAATAGGGAACTAACGCGATCTCTTCACGAGTCACAAAGTTCAGCGTTACAACCAACACTAAATTTCTTCGTACTATATTAAATACTATGCCGCAATAAGAAATCAAAATCACCCTAGCTGACACGCAAAGCAACTAAAGAGTCAACACACAAAAGGCTCTTAACGCGACGGTACAATTACAACGAAATTATTCTAATCACTTGTCGTGAAGCGACAATTAAAAAAAATATAGAACCTAACCTAAGTACAACAAAACAACAAAAGTAGAGCCAGAAAACAATATATTTAAATTTTTAAAAGGTATTTACAATTTTATAAAAAAAATGATATGAGGATGATGATGAATGAAGTGAGAGTACAATTAGATTCCAAAAAAATATAAAGGTAGGAGAATAGGGGAATAAAGAGATGTAGTGGGGCCTAAAAGTCGAAGCGACACACGTTGCGATTGTAGAGGTAGGTTTCTTAGCAGCGACGACACGCAGCGCCTGAAGCCAGCACACGCCGGTTGCGCTTGTAGAGGTAAGTTTCTTAGTAGCGACGGCACGCAACGCCTGGAGCCAGCACACGCAGCGTCCGGAGCCGGCGCACGTAGCGCCTGGAGTAGGTGCGCTCAACGCTTAGAGCCAGCAGTTGCAGCGCCCAAAGGTAGCGCCGGCGGTAGGTGCACTCGGCGCCTGGAGTAAGTAGTCGTAGCGCCCGGAGTAGTGTGGCCCCCGCGCTTGTAGTAGTCTCGAAGCGACTTCCGAGGTAGATGGAGGCTTGTAGGAATCCGGAGTGGTGCGGCTCCGCGTTTGAAGAAGGCTTCGCCGAAGACTTCACGTGTAGGTGGAGGCTTGCAGGATCCCGGGGCAGTGCGGCCCCGGGATAAGGCCTTTAGGAGATACTTTCAATTCGCGAACTGAAGCGAGACTGCCTTTCTTCACCGATTGTTCGGCTTTTATACCTTTCTAGAGAGAACGGAAAAATTATTTAAATTAAACGCAAATTTTTTGTAAATGGTCAAGAGAAAAAAGTATTTATGTGGAATTATCGAAATAGGAACAACAGATCGGTAGCAAATTTGAATATAATTACTATAGCAACGAAATAAATAACAATATCAAAACATGTCAAATTTTGGTTTTAGGTTTATAATAAGAAAACGGTAAGATTTAAGTGGAAAATGAGATATTATTGATATAGGAAAAAAGGTAGCGCAGCTGCCCACACAAAGCCCAAGATTGTAGAGTTACGGAAAATTAGCTAAAAGATCGAAAAAAGGTAGACTCCATTGACACCAATTTAAAAGTGCTGATAATGTGAAAATACGAAGTAGAAATGATTTGTTATTGTGTTCTTATGGTTTAAAATCGTTACAGGATCCTATGGAAATAAAGGTGATGTAAAATATCCAGTTTTGAGGTGAATGCAGAAAATCGAAACAGAATGGAAAAATGGATTTAAAATAATGTAAAATGATATGTAAGTAGCATAACACTACATTTTCCCCCCGACCCTGGAAAATTTTTGACTCAGCAAAAATTTTGATATATACATTCTAAAATAAACCATAAAAACACAGCTTTGCAGAAACAGACATCACCAGGCAAAATCAGATATACTATCTCTTACATTCATCATCTGTCATTCAGGTAAGGGTGGAGTTCACATTCAATGACTACCACTCTAAAAGTGTGTTTTCAAAACGACATTAAGGCTTATTTAAGGAGTAGTCATCCGCTCCTGCGTGGAAAAAAAAAATAAATTAGTCGAAGAAACACCACTCTTAAAAGTGTGTTTTCGAAAGGACATTCAGGCTTATTTAAGGAGTTGTCATCCGCTCCTGCGTGAAGATAAAAAAATTATTAAGGGAGTAATCAGCCGCTCCCAAGTGAAGATAAAGATAAAGAAATACCTCAAGTAAGCTTTAGTCGCTATGACTTAAGTAAAGATTAAGAACGGCCAGAGCGGTAGGGCTCAAAGCCAGAGAACAGCAACATCACCAACGAGATGTGTCTGAAATAAAAATAAAAAGTGACGATTAACCAACGAAAGTTCGAGGTCCTAAAGCAAGATGTGTTGAAGAACACTGGATCATCAAACAAACAAACAAATTAAAAGAAATAAAAATAATATGGTGAGAATGATGGTGATATTTATACATATATACAAATTAACAGTTAGTAAATGCTTAGAAAAGTTATGAATCGTCTCGCTTCAGCTTTGAAAAACAATTTTATATAAAGTGTAAAGTTCAAAGTTAAGTTTAAGAAATAAAGATTTAATTGAAAAGTTATACCTCTTTAAGTTACCTAGAATAAAAATATTAGAGTGATGAATGTAAGTGAAGTGTTGAATGTAGGTCTAAATATAGTCTAGATAAGTTGAAACACTAGATGAAGTGTTGTTTTAGAATTTGGAAAGTTATCTACAATAAAAATATTAAAGTGATGAATGTAAGTGTTGTGTGAAATGTAGGTCTAAATATAATCCAGATAAGTTGAAACACTAGATGAAGTGTTGTTTTAGAATTTGGAAGGTTATCTACAATAAAAATATTAAAGTGATGAATGTAAGTGTTGTGTGAAATGTAGGTCTAAATATAATCCAGATAAGTTGAAACACTAGATGAAGTGTTGTTTTAGAATTTGGAAAGTATGAAAAGAATGAATAAATAAAGAGTTAAGAACGAAAGGGAGAGCAATTAAATCAAAAGGGAATGGACAAGGCGCAGTAAAGGTGAAGAATTAAGAGAGAAAGAGGACTTTTACGTTGGGCGCCAAATGTCGTGAAGCGACAATTAAAAAAAATATAGAACCTAACCTAAGTACAACAAAACAACAAAAGTAGAGCCAGAAAACAATATATTTAAATTTTTAAAAGGTATTTACAATTTTATAAAAAAAATGATATGAGGATGATGATGAATGAAGTGAGAGTACAATTAGATTCCAAAAAAATATAAAGGTAGGAGAATAGGGGAATAAAGAGATGTAGTGGGGCCTAAAAGTCGAAGCGACACACGTTGCGATTGTAGAGGTAGGTTTCTTAGCAGCGACGACACGCAGCGCCTGAAGCCAGCACACGCCGGTTGCGCTTGTAGAGGTAAGTTTCTTAGTAGCGACGGCACGCAACGCCTGGAGCCAGCACACGAAGCGT